CTCCTCAATGTTGAATAGAAGTGGTGATAGAAGGCATCCTTGTCTGGTCCCTGTTCGCAAGGGGAATGGTTTTAGTCTCTCTCAATTAAGAATAATGTTGGCTGTTGGTTTTGCATAGATGCCCTGTATTATGTTGAGGAATGTCCTTTCTATTCCTATTTTTATGAGAGTTTTTATCAGGGATGGGTGTTGGATTTTATCAAATGCCTTTCCTGCATTGATTGGTACGATCATGTGGTTCTTTTCCTGTTTTATTTATGTGATGGATGAGATTGATTGTTTTTCTAACATTGAACTATCCTTGTGTACCTGATATGAACTCCACTTGGTCATAATGAATTATTTTCTTAGCATGTTGTTGGCGTCTATTTGCTAGGATTTTTTTTTGTTGTTGTTGTTGAAGATTTTTGCATCTAAATTCATGAAGGATATTGGTCTGTAGTTTTCCTTTTGAGTGATGTCTTTGCCTGGTTTGGTATCAAGGTTATGCTTGCTTCATAAAATGATTTTGGGTGGATTCCATCCTTTTCTATATTTTGTAATAGTTTAAGTAGGACTGGTGTCAGTTGTTCTCTGAATGTTTAGTAGTATTCTGTGGTGAAACCATCTGGGCCAGGACTTTTATTTTTGTCTTTTTTTTTTTTTTTTTTTTTTTTTCATGACCTGTTCAATGTCTTCTTTTGTTATGGGCCTGTCCACCTTTTCCACCTCAGTCTGTGTTAGTTTTGGTTAAGTAGTGTGTTTCTAGAAATCTGTCCATTTCTTCTAGATTTTCAAATTTGTTGGAGTACAGTTCTTCACAGTATCCTGATATTATCCTTTTTATTTCTGTTGGTTCTGTTTTGATGTTGCCTCATTTGTTTCTTATTTGTGTTATTTGTATTCTCTCCATCTTTTCCTTTGTTAAATTTGCCAGTGGCTTGTCAATTTTATTAATCTTTTCAAAAAACCAACTTCTAGTCTGCTTGATTTTTTTCTACTGTCTTTTCTATTTTCTGTTTCATTGATTTCTCCTCGAATCTTCATTATGTCCTTTGTTCTGGTGACTGCAGGCTTTTCTTTCTGTTCTTTTACTAATTGTTGGAGATATTGTTTTAAAGTGTTGATTTTGGCTCTTGTTTTTTGATGTGTGCATTTATTGCTATAAATTGGCCTCTGATCACTGCTTTTGCTGTGTCCCAAAGATTTTGATATGTTGTGTTTTCATCCTCGTTTGATTCAAATAACTTTTTAATTTCATTTTTTATTTCTTCTCTTACCCAGTCTTTGTTAAGGAGGGTGTTGTTCTGTTTCTACGTTTGCTCTTTTTCCATTGATCTTCCAATTGTTGATTTCTAATTTTATAGCATTGTGATCTGAGAAGACGCTTTGCAGTATTTTCAGTTCTTCACAATTTATTAAGGCTTTGCTTTGTGGCCCAACATATGGTCTATCCTTTAGAATGTTCCATGTGCACTGGAAAAGAATGTATATTGTGCTGTTTGGGGGTGTAGTGGTCTATAGATGTCTATAAGGTGGTGGGATTATATTGTTTAGCTCTTCTGTGTCTTTGTTGAGCTTCTTAACAGTTGTTCTATCTTTCATTGAAAGTGTGTCCTACTGTGACTGTGGAGTCATCTATTTGTCAAGGTAGACATTCTTTATGAATGAATTAATAAATTAATGAATTCTTTACTAATGAAGCTGTTTGAAGATTTCAGACAATATTTTTGGTTTCCGAATTAACTCAGGTTGATTGTTTTGGGGATTTATTCAACCTCAACAGCTCTAGAAACTCTGGACTCCATGAGAATTCAGAATTTTTTTTTTTTCAAAATTTCCCCCCTTTTGATCAGATGAATGCAAAAGCCAAATTTTAACTTACATATTAGAAAATAATTTTCTTAACTTTATAAAAATATCAAATGGTCTTAGGTCCTCTGGATAGGAGGAAGATGATGATGAAAGAGTGAATATTTGCCTTAAATCAACTAAAACACATAGTGTAGAAAAAGGTCATTTGAAAAATGTCGTTTCAATTGTGTGGATGCTCATAGAATCTTTTTTAAAAAATGTTATGTTACTGTGTTTTGGTGAAGTTTACATAGTAGTTTTGGTTTCCATTCAATTTCTACACACATTGTTTGACCACTTTGGTTACAACATGGGAACTTCCTCACTATTTACATTCCGGTTGTTCCATTTCAATCAATCTAGTTTCCCTACCCTCTTATAGTATCATTGTTGCTGTAAAGTAATTGTTGACGGTTTGGTCTCATAGGTGACTTTTTTAAAGGAGCATACATCTCACAGGTGATACTCATTACTTACTCATTTTTGTGAAACGATGATTTTAGTTTTAAGTACTTGGAAACAGTACATAAGGTCTAAATACAATTAAAAAAAATAATAGTGCAAGTTTAGTTCATGTTTGATAATCAATGTAACTTACATTAACATAGAATAATCTTATCCATTGAGATAATACACATCCTTAAAAAAAATTAACATCTCTATGATTAAAAACTTGCAACAAATAGAAGGAAACTTTCCATTGTATTGTGTGTTTGTGTGTGTGCATATCCATTGCTGATGGGTTGATTCAGACTCATGGCGACTCCATGTTACAAAGTAGAACTGCTCCAAAGAATTTAGTTTAGTTTTTATTTTTGCTGAACTCTACACAGCCAATATACCATTTCAACCATTTCTGCATGTACAATCCAGTAACGATAGGTTCCTGATGGGGTATCCTAAGCTCTTAGCTATCAGGGCTCTTAAAAACCTGATTAATAAGGACTTGATTTTCATTTTCCACTTTTTAATATACTTATTTTCCTGCTTGTCACTTCTTCTTTGTTGTCTTTGCTGGTAATCATAAGAACCTTTCCTTCACAGCACTCAAATTACTGTCATGACACCACCACTGTCTGCCAGTTTGTGCTACTGTAGTGGCTTGTGTGGCGCTACGATGCTGGAGTGCTTGGTATGGCAAGTAGCAGCAGGGCCCCGTGGATGGGTTTCAGTGAAGCTTTTAGGCTAAGACAGACCAGGAAGAAAGGACTGGTGAACTGCTTCCGAAAATCAGCCAGCAAAAATCTTATGGATCACAACAGAATGTTGTTTCCTTGAACACACCATCGGGAAAGACCAACAGCTGGAAGGGGACGTCATGTTTGGTGACGTGGAACGCCAGTGAAAGCAAGGGAGGCCCTCAGTGGGATGCCCTGACACAGCGTCTGCAGCACTGGACTCGAGCAGACCAGCAATCGTGGAGATGGTGGAGGACCTGGCCGTGGTCCATCCTCTTGGACGTAGGGTCGCCATGAGTCAGAACCGACTTGACAGCAACCAAGACCACCTGGAGGAGACAAGAGTACAAACCCAGAAGAAAACGCCACACCTTCTCAATTCAGAAGCTCCCTGGCTCCCCTGAGAGACTGAGTCTTTGAGCCGCTGGGTGGATACCGTACCTTAAACAAGGAAGAGAAGACGTGAAACGTATACACAGCACAGGAACCATCCGAGTCACACATGAGCTGGTTGATGTGGCTGTGCCAGGCTTCCTCAGCGTCGTCACAGGCCGTGGGCTGGAAGGCTGCCAGGATGGCTGAGAAGAAGGGTGACGGAGGTGGGGAGACGCCCCTGTCCCCTTCTCCAAAGCTATAAGAAAGCAAAATGCCTGTGTCAGGGAGGTGATGGTCTCCTTGTCCTTCCCTTAGTTTAGTAACTTCTATGTCCTTTCCCTGGTTCAGTAACTTCTTTGTCCTTCCCTGAGTGGTGGCGTAGTGCCTAAGGCATTTGACTGCTAACCAGAGGCTGGTGGTTCAAATCCACCAGCCACTCCTCAGAGGGCAGGTTGGGCAATCTACTTCTGTAGTGTTACTGCCTCGGAAACCCAAGGAGGGGTTGCTAGGAGTCGGATCCGACTTGACGGCAGTGAGTTTGGTTTTTTGGTTTCAACCCTGAGTTGGCAGCCGAGGGCTAGTCATCTGCCCAGTCTCCTCTCTGAGGCTGCTTTGGGGAACTCAGCTTTCATTCACAGGTCTCCAAAGCTTTTTGATGGTGCCAGGAAATAGAATTTTCACCTGTAGGATCTCTGTGATTCCTCCATTTCCTGTTTGCTTTATACAGACCTGGTATCTCTTCTATTTATTTATCCCTTCCCCCCCAATGGTGATTTGGGTGAAAGTTTACAGAGCAAATTGGTTTTTCATTCAACAGTCTATACACATTCTGTTTTGTGATATTTACTACAAATACCACACCGTAGCAGCTTTTTTTGTTTTGTTTTGTTTTTTGTGATTTGGGTGAAGATTTACAGAGCAAATTCACTTTCCATACAGCAGTTCACATGCACTTTGTCTCATGACATTGACTACAATTATTTAGCGCAATGCAACAACTCCCTTCTCACTTCCTCCCCATAGTTACCTCTTCCCAGTGTCCATCCCTCCATGGACTCCTGCCCCCTGAGCTGGCTCCCTGTGTATAAGTAGCCCTTCTTTCTCCCATGATTGTTTTCTCCAAGGAGTGTATCTACCTGAGGTAAATGTTCAACTCATACGCCTATCTTTTGTTTGGCTGGAAACCACGGGTGTGGGTTCAATTCCAGACCTGAAGGGCAGCTAGGGACCATAGTCTCAGTGGTTCCACCAGGCTCTATCAGACCAGCAAACCTGGTCTCCCCC